AGGGGGACAGAGCAATAGTACAGAAGTTGGAGTAAAACCCAAAGAACGGCCTGGCTTGTGGCACTCCTGAAAACTGCACAGATCTTAGGAAAAACACTAAAGTTAGGGAACCCCAGGTAAGGAAATTCTGTTCCCCAAGGGAGCAATGCCTGGAAACTCTACAATGGTTTTTATTACCCTACACAGAGGACCCTATTTCCACAGAACGGATGATCTAGCGCCACTTATAAATAAAGTAATTTTCCCTGTGATACCCATAGCATCGTATTATTTTTCAATAGAATATTAAAAATCTAATATATGTTTCTTTTTTATGTGTTACATTTCACTCAGCTTACACAATGAAAACAGGCAGGTCATTTTCAGGTACATCTTCTCATGCTGATGCCTGATGGGATTTCCAACATACAAGGATTCTTTTAAGTTTAAAAAGGAAAAAAAAAGTTTCAGTCCCATTTTAAAAAGCTACACAAACACCTCTCTTAATATGAAGGACCCCACCCTACCTCCACTGAAGCCAAAAGCTGTTTTGTCAGCATTAGGTGCTGTACAAACATATAATGAGACACTCTCTTAGTTATAAGTATCACAGTATCTGCTATATAAAAGAAAGCAATGCAGAAAAGGAGTGGGGCACAGCGGTGAATACACACATAGGTCCCTGGTTGGCAGATGAGTATCTTTGTGGAGCCTAGAATATTCACAAGCCAACTGTCTGGCTCCAAGCCCTGCTGCTGAGTTGTTGATATTTTTCCTATTCGGCAATAGGTGCACTTCCCAATAGAGGTGACTGAGAGCTCCTCAAATGCATGCATGTAAATTGGGCCACCCCACACTTTACCCAGATGGCTCATTCATCCTAACATGCTAACATTTAGCCAGATACTTTTTGCTTTACTTGCATTGCGGTTGGAGAGTTATATACTTTGCCCAGTGCCAACCTGCATCTCCTCCTGTCCTTTTGCCCAAAACAGAGGGTAGCTTGCCTATTCTGAGACTGCTTGTTTTCTTCCCCTGCCCCAGTAGGGTGAACCACAGCATAAGACAGGGTCTAGTCACCTGAAATAAGGACCCAGAAGGAACATGCTTAAAAGCCTTTAAGATTAATGGAATAAAAGAACTAACTGGGAAAGAATGCTCTTTCCCAGGCCCCTGGCCTACCTCGAATTTGAACACCAATAGTTTGTCCCTATAGCACTTTGAGTCCTACACTTGTTACCTCCAGTCTGCCAGGCACTAAATTCAATACCCCAACTGTCTACCACTGTTCAAAACCGATTTCAAAAGCGCTAACACTACCTCAGCTAGTGCTCAGACTTCGCTGTCCATTGCTGTCGTCTTCCTGAACTACAGTCGTGTTTAAATTAATGCTCGGGCTCAAGATGGTTTTCAGAGGAGCTGTTTCAAGAGCAGCACCCCAGACAGGAGGGAGCGAGGCAGTGCCCCCGACGTGCCTCTAGGTGGGGCCCGGGGCCCGTCTGTCGCTCCCGCCCGCGTGCTCCCAGCGCCGCAAAATGGCAAAGCCCGTCTCGCCTAGCTCTTGGCGTGAGCTTTAAAGAAGGGATCGCGCAGGTTTGGCTTAAAAGTATGCCTTGCAACGGGGAATAATCATAATAATTAATTTAAAAAATACCAAAGGCGGGGGGGAGTGTGAAAAGGAATCGAGAATCGCGGCTATCCCAAAGCTGAACAAAACCTGGGCTAGAAGCACGGCTGATGGATGGGTTTTTATCTGCAAGCCACCTGGAGGGGAACGAAGCACTCGTTTGCCGTGGTGAAATGGGGGGAGAGGGGGCTCGCTGATGGATTGGGGAGCTGGGGAAACGGCCACTTCCCGGGCATCCGTACTCTAGCCCCTGACCTCTCCGCCGCCGCGCCCTGTAAATCTCTCTTTATTGCCTTCCCCTCCTTCCAGCTCGTGCTGCCGCGCTCCCCCGGGGCTGTCGGAGAGCGCGGGCTTGGGAGCACCCGGGGCCGGCGCGAGCAGCTGGAGTCAGAGGCGGGGGGAGGCGGAGGAAGCAATTGATCTCTGCGAGGGAAAGGCAGCGCGCGGCGGAGGAGAGCCGCGCGGCCCGGCCCGGCCCGGCCCTGCGCC